AAACTAGTCAAGCAATAGCCTGACATAGTGATATTCATGAAACTATACTTTATAGAGATTATTCTAGACACCACATCACCATCCTTAGGTATTTCCTGTCCCGGGGCAGGACAGACCCAGCAGAGGTGCAATACATATTCAGGAACAAGATGCCCTATGAGTCCTCAAAATTGACTCTAAACTCCATGGCATCAGGTCAAACATGGGCAAGGAAACCTTCCTTTGATTATCACCTACCACCCAAATTCAACTGATGAAGTAGTACTCTTTCATGTTGAACACCAACTGGAAGAAGCACTGCAGGTTTGGCAAGGAACTCTGGGTGGGGAATTTCAATGCCCATCACCAAGAATGGCTGAGTAGCATCATTACTGATTGAGTTGGCTGAGTCCTAAAGTACATAGTTGTTATACCAGCTATTAGGCGGTGGGGGAACCAACAAGAGGGAAAACCCTATATTACCATATCCTCAAGTATTACAGATGTATCTGTCAGTATTGATAGTAGTGGTAGAGTCAGTTGTCATCGTCCTTGTAGAGACAAACTTCTGCTTCACAGTGAGGTAGTCTCCATCCTATTGTGTGGCATTACCACCATGCTAAATGAGGTAGACTGCAAACAGATCCAGCAACCTACAACTAGGCATCGATGAGAAGCTGACAGCAGCAGTGTAGTTAACCACAATCTATAAGCTCAGCTCATCCCCACTCTGCGATTACCATCCAGCCAGGGGATCAATCCTGGTTTAATAAAGAATGCAGCGGCCATGGTAGGAAAAGCACCAGCCTAAAATTGAGCTTTCAACCTGGCAAAGTTACAAGGCAGGATTACTTGCAAACTGGACTAAGTGAACCCACAATTAATAGATCAGATATGAGCTCTTTAATCTTGTCACATCCAGCCATGAATGGTCGTGCACAATTAAACAACTAACAGGTCAAAAATATCCCTACCCTTAATGATGGCAGAGCCTAGTGTATCAGGATGTTGATAGTGGGGGAATTCAGCGATGGTAATACCATGGAATGTCAAGGGGCAGTGGTTAGATTGTCTCTTATTGGTGATGTTCATAGCCTGGCATTTGTGTGATGCGAATGTGACTTGCCACTTGTCAGCCCAGGCCTGGATATTGTCCAGATCTTGTTGCATTTGAACATGGACTGCTTCAGTGTCTGAGGAATCATTAAAGGTGCTCACTATTGTGCAATCATCAGCAAACATCCCCCCTTCTGACCTTATGATGGAGGGAAGGTTATTGATGAAGCAGCTGAATATGGTTGGGCTGAGGACACTACCCTGAGGAACTCCACCAGCGATGTCCTGGAGCTGAGATGACTGACCTCCAACAACCACAACCATCTTTATTGTGCCAGCTATGACTCCAACCAGCAGAGAGTTTGCACATTCTATTTCTTTGATTCCACTTTTGCTAGGGTCCCTTGATGCCAGGTTTGGTTGAATGCAGCCTCAATGTCGAGGTCAATCTTCCAAGGATCCTTCGATTCTGGAAAAGTCCCAAGTTATTGAAAAACTGCCAATGTAACACCTTTATTTAAAAAGAGAGGCAGACAAAAACAGATAACAATAGGCCAGTTAACCTGTTCTTGGAAAAATTTTAGTGTGTATTATACAGGATCCAATAGCAGATCATTTAGAAACCCATAATATAACCAAGCAGAGTCAGCATGGCTTCATGAAGGGGAAATCACACCTAACAAATTTATTACAATTTTCAAGGAAGTAAAAAGCAGGATAGGTATGGGTGAATCAATAGATGAAATATATTTGGATTTCCAAAAGGCATTCAATAAGGTACCACACATTAGGCTACTTAATAAAGATAAGACACCCCCATGGTGCTGGAGGTAATATATTAGCATGGATAGAGGACTGGCTAACTAATAAGAGGATGGAGAGTTGGGATGAAGGAAACATTCTTAGGCTGGCGACCTGTAACTAATTGAATGCCACAGGGATCAATGCTGGGGCTACAATCGTTTGCATTGTACATTACTGACTTGGATGACAGAGTGATGTATTATTTCTAAATTTGAAGGTGACACAAAAATAGGTGGGAAGTCAAGAAATGAAGATGACACAAGGAGTTGCCAAGGGATTTAGACAGGTTGAAGTGCATAGGCAAAAACATAGCAGATGAAATATAATTTGGGAAAATGTGAAGTTATGCACTTAGGGAGGAGGAATGGAAGAATTGAATATTATTTAAATGGGGAAAAGAATTCCAGTAGCTGCAGTACCAAGGGATCTATGGGTCCTCATGCATGAATCACAAAAAGCTAGCATTCAAATTCAACAGGTAATAAAAGAAGGAAATAAAATGTTGGCCTTCATTTTAAATGAAATGGAGTATAACAGTAAGGAGGTCTAGCAAAAATGCTACAAGACATTGGCCAGACTAAATGTGGAATGCTGTGAACAGCTGTCGTCCCCTTATCTTAGGGAAGATGTATTGGCTTGGAGGCAGTCAAGAGAGAGTTCATCAGGCTGATCTCAGGTATGGAAGAACTGACATATGATGAGAGGTTGAGTAGGTTGGTCTTTTACTAATTGAAGTTTAGTTGAATAAGAGGAGATCTTATTGAAACACTTATATAAGGCACTTAGGGAGTCGAGAGGGTTGATGCGGTGAGGTTGTTTCTCCTTGTGGGAAAGGGTCAGACCAGAGGGCATGGTCCCAGAATAAAGGGTTGCTCTTTAAGACAGAGATGAAGAAGAATTTGTTTTCTCAGAGGGTAGTCAATCTATGAAATTCTTTACCATAGAGAGTTTTTGAAGTCAGGTCATTAAATATATTAAAGACTGAGATAGACACATTTTTTAAAATCAGTAAATGAATGAGGGATTATTTTGAAAAGACAGGTATGTGAAGTTGAGGAATAACAGATCAGCCACAATCTGATTGAATGGCAGAGCAGACTCATTGGGCTGAATGGCCTACTTCTACTTCTAGGTCTTATACTTTTCTGATTCGCTTGGTAATATCAAGGTACAGCTGAGGACATTAGATACTCCATTGACTATGGCCTCGGACTACATTCCTACAATAGCACTGAAGACTTGTGATCCAGAACTAGTTGCACCCACAGCCAGCCTGTTCCAATTCATATTTACTATTCATGTTGACCAGATAATGTGGAAAGATGTCCAGGTACATCCAGTTCACGAAAATGCAGGACAAATCCAATAAAATCAATTATCTACTCTCGATCATCAGCAAAAGTAATGGAAGGGGTCATGGATACAGCTAACAAATGGAACCTGTTCAACTTAGGCTGTTAAGACCACTTGGGTCCTGACCTCACGGTAGCTTTTGCCCAAACATGGTCTAAAGAGTTGAAGTCCAAAGGTGAAGCAAGAGTGATTGTCCTTGACATCAAGGTAACATTTTACCGCGTGAAGCATCAAGGAGCTCCAGCAAAACTGCAGTCAATGGGAAGCATAGGGAAAACTCTCCTCTGATTGGAGTCATACCTAACACAAAGGATGGTTGTTGTTGTTGAAAGTCAATCATCTCAGTCACATGCATCACTACAAAGGTTCCATAGGTTGGTGTCCTAGACCCAAGCATCTTCAGCCGTTTCATTAACTTCCTTCCCTCCAGCGTAACATCTGAAATGGAGATGACCACACAACGTCCAACATGATTTGTGATTCCTCAGATACTGAAGCACTCTATGTACATTTTCAAAAAAACTTGCGTGGGAAGTAACATTCACACTAGACAATTGCCATCATAACAAGATAGATTCTAACCATCTCCCTTTGAAACCCAATCAAATTACCACTGCTGAACTCCACCAGTATTAACAACCTGGGGATTATCAGTGAACAGAAACTGAACCGGACCAGCCACATAGATAGTGTCTACAAGAGGCTAGGATTTCTACAGTAATGCATGTCCTGTCTTCCCAATGCCTGTGGATCTGTTACAAGCTACAAGTCAAAGCATGATTGAACACCCTCTCCTGGCCTGGCTCGATGTAGCTCCAACAACACTCAAGAAGCACCAGGTCATCCAGGATAAATTACCCAGCTAGATTGCACCCCATCCACCACCCTCAAAATTCAGTCCCTTCACCACTGATGCAGAGTGGCATCACTGTGTACCCACTACAATACCAACTTCATTAACTCACCAAAGCTTCTCCAACAGTTCCTTAGGTTTTCTTTGGACCAAAAAAATGTTGAAGTGGGGGATCTGGCTGGGTGTGTGTGTATATGTGGTGGACAGGGTGGATAGAAAGCAGCTGATAGAAAGAACAGCCAATATAGAATGGTCTTAATTTTAAGAAGGGAAGGAAGTTTAGAGAGGTTTTAAGAAAGTTCTCACCCAGAGAGTGGTGGGAATCTGGAATGCACAAGCTGGGAGGGTGGTAAAGGCAAGAAATTTGCAACTTCAAAAAGTAAATGGACGAACACTTAATGTCATAACATTCAAGGTTACATATCAAGTACAGAAAGGTGGGATTAGTGTGGATAAGTTCATGCAGACTTCCTGGGCCTCTGCTGTGGTGCATAACTGTATGATAGTAGATACCAAATCTGAAACCTCTATCATCTAGAAGGACAAGGGTTGAAGGTGCCCTGCAACCTGCAAGTTCCCCTCCAAGTCACACACTTTCGGACATAGAATTATAATTGCCATTCATTCATTGTTGCTGGATCAAAACCTTAGATGCCCTCCCAAACAGCACTGTGGGGTGTTCCTAAACCCCAAGGATTTGAAGTGGTTTAAGTGGCCAGCTATTCAAGAGAAATTAGGGATTGGCAAAAACACTTGCAGAAGCCAATATCCCATGAACAGTTTAAAAAAAATTGCTTGTGAATGTTACCAAAAATGAAGGTACACCTTTTGTTTTGCCATATAGTTGTTCAGCTGTGTTTGTGCTTTACCCTGATTTAGATCATTAACTCAACTCAGAAATGAAATCAATGGCACAGTTACCATGATAGTCACTGCAAAGAGATACACGTTTAAATTTTATTCAAAATTTTCAAGATTTATTTATGACTTATTTTATTTACCATAGTTATTAATTCGTTTATTTTAATCCATGAACATAAACAGGGCTGGGGAAAGAATGAGGGAAAACAAAAGTTTGTGTTGAGTGATGTAGCAATAATGTACATCCCAGTGAAAAATGATGCATAGCCATTTCATATACAACCACTGTTCTGTTATAATTAGCAAAGGCAGAAACTCCATTCCTACCAATCAAGCAACATGTACAAAAATTTATAACATCTAATCCCAATGGTCGCTTGATGAAAACGTACAAGAAATTCAACATTTTCCCCACTGCTGACAGGGTAGATCTGTGATTGAGAATCTGATTCCAATTTTAGCAACCAATTAGAATTCTTTAAGAGCTTTACAGACAGTTGATTCTGATAAATTGCCGGTTTGATGAAGCAAGTATTCCCTCTTATTTCTATCTTCTCCACAGAAGAGTAATAAAATCATCAACATACTTCCTTGTTCAGTTGATGTCGCCAGTCATAAAGCAGTTCAGGGCTCGTTAAGAATAGCATTTGCAAAATTGTCTATTTGACTTCTATTTAAAATATAGACCACTAAAAACATATACCACAAAGATGGGTATTGTATTAAAATACTGATTTTCTACGCTTTCCAGATTTCTAATTATATCTAAATACAGAAACTACATGGCAACTTTTACTTTTTATAGAAGGATCAAAACGTTCCTTTTTTGAGTTAATCTTTCCCAGAAGCTCAGTCTCTCCAGTCCTCACAAGCAGCTCAATAATGACTACCTCTATTCCCCCAAAAAGGCAGAATGCCTTCTGGCACATTCAACATAAACATGATTGTGATTAGGGATTTAGTTGTCTAGGAATCTCAGGCATAATAGTACATTCCATCATTTTAAGGGGTTGAGAGTCCAAATGCTATGTTATAAACAGAAGTAAGAGGGAAATAAAATTTCAAATATCTGATACATCTTTTTAAACCTTTTTAAAATTTGATTCTCCATGTTAATGCTAAAAATTCACATATTTCTTGAACATCTTTCACAGCCTCAGGACATCCTAGACTGCTTTTGAGTCGAGTGAGTACTTTGCGAATTGTAATCGTTGTTTTAACATTGGAAACACAGCAGCCAATTTGCACTCAGCAAGGCCTCAGAAAAAACATGGTACTGACAAGATAATCTAATTTAATGATCACAAAACATAGAAGCAGAGGTAGGTCATTCAGCCTATTGAGTCTACTCTGAAATTCATAACTTGCAATAGTTGGGAACAGAACTCGAGCCAACAGCTTAGAAGGCAGTTATGCTCATCAGTTGGTGAGAAAACCAGGATGAACAACTGTGCTCTTAGTCAATGTAGTCCACCCAAGGGCCACAGTTTAACGTCTCATCTGTAACACGACACCACTTACAGTGCAGGATGCCCTCAAAACTGCACTGGAATGATAGCCCAGACTTTGCATGCGAGTCTCCAAAATGGAAGTTCAAATTCCAGCCATCAAACTCAAAGGCATGGAAGTGCAAACAATGAACTTCAGCCAAACTGGAAAAATCAAGTCTACATAAGAATATTGGGAAAAAACAGATCAACCTGTTGTAAGATGGCACCTTTCACAAAAGTATTAAATTTCAGTGGGCTGACCATCCTGACATAAGGATATAAGTTTGGAGTCTTTAAATGGCAGACAAAATCAATTCTGTACAGGAAGACAACTAACTGAGCATAGACATTGAGTAGGAAGGCTTCATTATAAATATTAGTCTAAATGATAGGATGCAGTACTTCTCGCAGAGTGTCAGAAAAATCTCAAATAGACTGGAGAAATAAACAGCATGTGGGGATGTGCTATGTGCCTTCAAAAGGAAGCTAGATGAGTTCCTTCAAATTATAGGAAATTGGCAGGATAGACATAGCAAGCAATATCAGAAGTTGCAGTCTCCTGAAGTTAGTTTACTTTTGGGAATGGGATTTTTCAGACTCTCTTTCCTAAACTGGTTGGAGAAACTTTCTGCCTCTCTCATGGAATAATCTGGAGAAGAGTTGGGTTGATGTTAAATGATGGTTGCACAATACTTTGATGGAACAGAAATGATGGATCATTTGGTCTATTCCTGGTCTTTTCATGTTTTCCATTTATACTTATCATGAGAACTTTTAATCTCTGTTCCCAACAACATATTTAACCATTTTCTTCCAAAACATTTAATTAGAAGCAACACAAATTACTTTTAATCAGTGTTTATGTAGCCATGAATTTGTATGTGGAAGGGGTTTGATAGTGTCACTTGAGGCTTATTCATTTTGAATCAGTTTTTCCTAGCTTTGTGTTATTATCAATTTAAACAGATAACAGCTCCAACAACTACACTCCTTAGCACATAATTGCAGTGTGTCCCAAAATTCAACTAAAGATACAAGTAGACACTAACAACTGCTCACAGATGAGAACTGCTTTTATCATTACAGAACCCAAATGCTTAAACACCTAAAAGTCTCGTTACAAAAATGAACTACTTTTTGAGAAATTGAAAATTATAATTTGTTTTGCTTGTGCAGTATTTTGCTTCTCTTTCGTTCCTTAATACAAATGCCTTCCCTCATAAAAAGACCAATGGAAATAGATTTAACAGATTTTATCTGTGATTACAATTTAAAATAAAGCTGCAAATAAATTTTTTAAAAAAGCTGCCTATATCTCCAAGTTTGGTGGCACACACCAGTGTGAAAGATGCTTGTAGTACAAGGTAATTGTATCAGTTTTTATTTGATAACTAATGTAATTTTCTGGGTAGTGAGCTCCAATCTCTAATGCTTCAGTTAGAAATCCTCTAGGCAAGAACTTCAAAAAAACACAGAATTAACATGCAAATAAGTAGTAGCAAATGCAAATTTCTATTTTATGGATCTAAGGTATCCCTCCCCTCTCTTCCTTTCACTATTCTGTCAATTTTAGACATTCCTCCCCCCACAGTAGAGCACAGTAAATGCTTATCACTGAAATCAATACATCCAAATTGCGACACAAATATCCAGCTTTCCACAATAAATACAATGCATCACAATAAACTGGGAGTGTAAGATGATATCATTTATATAATAGGTTCAAATTTGAGTTCACACTACATATGGCAGCAATGCCCAAGAGAAGCACATACAAATTTCCTGTTGCTACTGTCCACTGAACACCTGGTTGGAAAAATCATGGACTGCATAACCCCAAATTTCCTTTCTGCCAAGCAAGGCGGCTAGACTCCCTGCTGATAGCACAGATTCATAAGATTACCTTGGGTAAGTAGGGTTCAGCAAGGGTGACTTAATATGTGTGAGGGAATCTCATCAGCTACCTATTAGCTTTAAACCCATGTGCCATTAATTAGGATATATCTCAAGTTGCTAATATTAACAAATAAAACATCTTTCAAATATTTTGGCCTACAAAATTGAAGTAGTGAAAAAAAAACTAATAGAAAAAAAACAATTTCCTGAGTCTTGAGGACTGATTGCAAGTTCTCACTGGTAGGAGAAGCGTTACAAGTGAGCATAGAATTGCAAGTTAAATATGCCGGTCTTAATCTATCGTGCATGATGTAATGTTCCTGCTCTAATTGGGTTATCCAGTTTATATAATTTACTGACTGATCCTATTGAAGCCCACCTTAGTTGGCCACAACCACGTTTTGCCTTCGGCTCAAGTAACTCGCTGGCCCATATCCATTTGTCTTTTTGAATGTTGTTTCTAATCATTAGTTAAATATTATAAGAACAATATCAAATCCACAAATTCCTAATCTGGAAAAGCTAGTAAATTCAAATCAGGCACCAAATAATTACAAATTAGAACATGAATCATTGAGATATCATAACTAACTAATTTGGAACCGACCAAAAAATATTTTGTTCTTGCGTTCATTTCATCTTTTAAAATCCATAGCCTGCCAAATTGAAAGTTTAACCCAAATGTTCTCGAGCTACAACCAAATTACATATTGTTTTTAATTGAGCACAGGTTGAACAATGACATTTACGCAGGATTTTGGAGATTCAAAAGATCCTTTGCTGGATCTAAACGTCTCTGACAGAATCTGGGCCATGTTTTATTTCTGTATGTGTTTTCCTTTTTTCTTCCAACACCTCCCAATCCCCAGTGCTTTAGCTTGACTGAAGTACTGTGTAGCACTTCCTTTTCATCTATGTCCTCCCATTCCTTTGATTACGAATATCTGAAACATTTCTCCCACAGCCTTCCAATTGATTCTACCATCTTAGTGGCTTTTTTCTGACCATGCATAACCTTTTCATTACATGTTCTAAAATGTATGACATTGAAAGCAGTGGCAAAATATAATACAACTGATAGGGAAATGCATCAATAAATGAAGTGCAACAAACATTAAACAGATGGAGAAAACCAAAACTGAACAAATCACAGTTAAATCAGGGAAGAGCTCAAAAATGTGAACCTGAAAGAAATGTGAAAACAGTAAAGGCAAAATTGTATTTTGATGATGACTGAGAATTGAAAAAATCTACAAGTATTGTCAGAGATGATTTTGATATAATAAAATTAAAGGAAACTTTGACATAGGTTGCTGTTGGAACCTGAAAAAGGACTTCCATTATCATAACAGCGTCATTGACAAAATGATAATACACTCCCAAGCTAAGAATTCAAAGTTGTGGAGATTTTAGATTACAGATTTTAATTAAATTCCATTAGTGTGTTTTCATCAGGTTTAAATCCAGAAGTAAACCAGTTGTACAATGTGACAAAATAATTCAATTCTATTCAACTCAAATAGTTCAGTCCAGGGCTTTTGCTTAAGCCCTGAACACATGTGAAGTAGACCCTTGACCTCCTTTTCATTATCACTGGTGGTGCTTTTCTATGATATGCTTGTTGTGAAGCCTGAATTCTAATGCACAACATCCTGAAGTCAATAGTGATCCAGTAATTCTGTGATACATCATGGGGTTCCAAGCAAAATACCAAAAAGATTTTCACGTGTGAATTTTCAGTCTTCCGTCAGAAACAAATTCGGGTAAAATCGCAAGCTTTCAACAGAGTCATCACGACACAGGTGGCCAACTTTCTCTGCTAGTAGTAGCCTGGGTGAAAAAAAAAACCCAATAAAAATGTGTAATAATGCTTGATAAAATGTTCAATTGTATAATTCTATCATAATTTCTCACCTTTCTTTGGCCAGGAGTACAGAAATTCCCATAAGCTTAGCATACTCCTCAGAACTAATAAAACCTTTCTCTGATACCTGTGTGCAGAAAGAAAAGACAAATACCCACAGATTTGATAGACAACTTGTTAGCTGGGCAGTATAAACATAAGAACATAAGAACTAGGAGCAGGAGTAGGCCGTCTGGCCCTTCGAGCCTGCTCCGCCATTCAATAAGATCATGGCTGATCCTTTCGTGGACTCAGATCCACTTACCCGTGTTCTCACCGTATCCCTTAATTCCTTTATTGTTCAAAAAAAATCTACCTTTTTTTTAAAAACGTTTACTGAAGTAGCGTCAACTACTTCACTGGGCAAGGAATTCCATAAATTAACAACCCCCTGGGTGAAGAAATTCCTTCTCAGTTCAGTCCTAAATCTGCTCCCTCTAATCTTGAGGCTATGCCTGAAAACTGATACTCTGGTGGTTTACGAATGTGCTGTGTGTGCAGCACAGGCAGTTCTCTACATGTAAACATGAGAAATAGCCGCAGGTGTAGGTCATTTCAGCATTTTAGCCTGTCCTACCATTCTATCAGATCATCTCATAGCCCTCAACTCCCCAATGTTGCAAAAATCTCTCTACCTCTTCTTTAATCACTTTCAGAGATCTCATCTCCACAATTCTCTGGGGTAGTGAATTCCAGACATTCACTATTGTTAGACAGGAGAAATTCCTTTTCATCTCAATTTTAAATGAGAATTCTTTTATTCTGTATTTACATCCCTTAGGTTGAGATTCCATATCTAATCTGTTAAGCCCGCTCAGAATCTTGTACGTTTTAGGAAGATCTCCCCTCATTCTTCTAAATTCTAACGTATAAAGAAATGACCTGTTTAAGCGTATGTGATAAGTCAACCCCTTCACCCCTTCACCCCTTGAATCAGCTCTTTTGAATGGCCTCCAACGTCAGTACATTCTCTCTTAAATATGGGAATCAAAACCTTGCAAAGTACTAGAGCTACAGCCTCACCAAACCCTGTACAGTTATAACAAGACTTCCTTATTTCCAAATTCCACCCACCTAGCAATAAAAGCCACAATTCCATTTCCCTTCTGAATTACTTGCTGCATCTGTATGCTAATCTTTTGTGTTGCATGCACAAGAACTAGATTATTCTATGCCGTACCTTTTTGGAGTGTCTCTCTGTTTAAATACCAGACCAACTTTTGATTCTTCTCACCAAAGTGCACGACCTCATACTCTCCTACATCTGCCAAGTATTTACCCACTCACTCAACCTGTATGATATCCCTTTGCAGATTATTCACATGTCCTTATCACAACATGCTCTCCTATCTGCTTTGTATCATCAGTAAATTTGGATACATTACACTGCCACCTCCTCCAAGTCAATAATATAGATAGTAAATAATTGAGACCCTAGGATTGATCCTTCTGACACTCCACTCGTTACATATTGCCAACCTAAGAAAGATGCATTGATCTGGACTCTGTCTTCTGCATTAACCAAATGCTATGACATTATCCCCAACACCATGACCTCCAGGCTTGAGCAATAACCTTTAAAATGGCATCTTATCGAATGTCTTGAGGAAATCACCTACTGGGTCCCTTTATCAGGTCTGCATGTTATATTTACAAAGAACACTAGTAAATTTGCCAACTAGGAATACCCTTTCATAAAACTATACTGACTCTGTTTGATCGAGTTAAGATTTTTTAAATACCCATAATTTTTCCTTCGAAATGGACATTAGCATGTTTCTCAATTTCAGATGTTAATCTAAATGATTTATAATTTCCTGCTTTGAGTCACCTCTCTTCTTGAACAGTGGTATCACGTTAGCAGCTCTCCAATCCATTGGAGGGCCTCCCAGAATCCACAGAGTTGTGAAATACTTCAACCAATGCCTCCATCACCATTGCAGCCACTTCCTTTAAAGCTTTTGGGTGCATGCCGTCAGGCCCTAGCAACCCCGTTCTCCTTCAGTCCCATTAGCTTGTCAAATACTTTGTCCTTTGTGGTTGAGACTTTTATAAGACCTTTCCTCCCTTTAGCACCTACTTATCTGTTACCTTTGGGACATTTATAGTGTCCTCCACCATAACAGCTGATGTAAATATTGGTTTAAATTACCTAACATTTCCTTGCACGCCATCATCAATTCCCCAGTTGTATTCTCTAAACATCCACTTTCTTTACTTACTGTTTTTTTTATATACGTAAAAGCTCTTGCTGCTTATTTTTATATTTCTTGCAAATTTACTTTCTTAATAAACTTTTATCCTCTTTATTAGTATTTTTTTCTCATCTGTTGCTGGTTTCAAAAACAATTCCCAGTCCTCTGGCATTCCACAAGTTTTCACTGCTTTCTATGCCTTAGTTTTTGATTGAATGTTCTCCTTGATCACTTTTGGACACCACAGGTAGCTCATCATTCTTCTTTTTGACCTGAATACATTTTTGCTGAGTGTTATAAAGTACCTGCTTAAATATCTACCCATCTTCATCCACAGACCTTCCCCTCAGTTTATTTTCCCAGCCTGGTTTAGATAACTCTTTCTTCATACTTCTGTAATTACCTCTATTTAAGTTGAGGACATAGGTTAGACCAGAGTTGCTCTTCCTCAAATTGAATTTGAAATTCTACCTTTTGTAATCATCCAGGGGATTCGTAATGAGATCTCAATAAATCTACCTCATTACACATTAGTAGATCGAAAACAGTCTGCTCCTATGGAGGTTCTGCAATGTACTGTTCTAAGAAACAGTCCCCACTGCATTCTACGTACCTGTTTTCTGTGCTATCTTTGCCAGTTTTATTTGTCCAGTCAATATGCAAATTAGAAATCACTCATGATCGTTGCCCTGCCCTTCTTACATGCCACAATCACTCTACCATTTCTACTTTGTCCTACAGAATGACAAATCTTCAGGGGTCTGTACGCAACTTCCACCCGTAACTTCTTTTCCTTGCTATTCCCGATTTCCACCCAAACTGATAAGAATAGATATTTAGGATAAAGAAAAACAAGTGCACGTATGATAGCTGTCAGGTTGTACATACAGTTGAGAACCAAACTGAATACAGAAGGTGCTACCTTTATTATTCAGCTACTGCTTTTCCCATCAGCCTTTGGTTTCAGACTGTCTGACCTAGCTCTGTTCTAGCCCCGTTGAAATTGGCTGTCTGCCAGTTGGTTACTCTTACTCTGGTTGGATCAATGTCATTTTCCACAATCATCCTAAACCTTGTGATACAATGATCATTGTCCCCCAGTTCTAAAGAAGGGTTACTGTACTCGAAATGTTATCTCTGCTTTGTCTCCACAGATGCTGCCAGCTTTGCTGAGTTTCTCCAGCAATTTCTGTTTTATTTCAGATCTTTATATGACTGTCCTCCAGATGTTCCCCCACTGACACTTGATCTACTTGGTCCAATTTATTTCCAAGAACCAGGTCTAGCAGTGACTCCAATCTTGTTGGACTGGACACATACTGCTGCAGGAAATTCTCATAAATCCAGGAATGCCTTCTCCTCTCTGACCTTTACACCAGCACTGCCAGAGTTAACAATTTTGGTATGAAGAATAGACGAGCTAAATATTGTTTAAAATGGGAAAGACTGCAGGAAGCTGTATCTCAGGGGGATTTGGAGATCCTAACATGATGCACAAAAAGCTGGCATCCAAGTTCAGCAGGCCATAAGCAAGATAAGTGGAATGGTGATTTTACTACAACTGTATGAGGCACTGGTCAGACCACAGATGAACACGGAACAGTTCTGGCCCTTTTATCTAAAGTAAGATATACTGGCATTGGAGGCAGTCCAGGGAAGTTTCACCAGATCGATCCCAGCTATGGACGGATTGTGTATTAAGGGGAGGCTGAGTAGGGTGGGCTTGTACCCTTTGGAATTTAGGAGAATGAGCGGAGACCTCATTGAAATATATAAGATTCTTAGGGAACTTGAGAGGCTAAATGTGGAGAGACTGTTTCACCCTGTGGGAACACCTAGGACCAGATGCCACTATGTTAGAGTAAGGAGTCACCCACTTAAGACAGGTGAGGAACTTTTTCTCAGAAGGTAGTGAATCTGTGGAACTCTTTACTGCAGCGGGTTGTCCAGGCTGGGTCATTAAGTATATATAAGGCTGAGATAAACAGATTTTTAATCAGTAAGAGAATCAAGAGTTATGGGGAAAAGGCAGAGAATTGAAGAGGAGGATTATCAGATCAGACATGCTCTGATTGACTGGCAGAGCTGACTCAATGACTCTGAATGGCCTACTTCTGCTCTGATAGCTCATTGTCATGGTCTAAGTTTCCAGTGTTGACCATGTCAGAGAAGAACATACCTGTTACTTCTCAAGGGGGCAACTGATGCAATGTAATTTGCATGCTTATCTTTCGAGCTAGGGTCAGATGTAGAATGGAAGACTTATAACATGATGAAATATGCTTTAAAAACCTGGTGCTCTTTCAATTTTTGGCAGATAGTGGGAGTAAATGGCCAGCATCATTTGTTCAACATCCAATATTCAGCTCCATTGAAGTCAGTAGAATTCAATGTTGCACCCTTGTACCTACATACAGCAAGCTCAATATTACCTATTTTTGAAATATCATCCAAGATAAACTTTTAAAGCCCTGCATATAGATTTGGATCAACACTTTTTTTTAATGCATTTTAGTAACATTACTGTGATTAATTATATGGCACAATTCATATACTTAGGTTGGTTTCATGCAATGGTTCATTTCTCAACAGATTACTGTCCAATTATCTTGTCATTAATCAGAGAATATTCAAATATTACTTTGTTGATTATTAAACGGAAAATTTCTTACTGTCTCCACAGCTGAAGCAATCATTTCATCCTCATTGTGGGACTGTAACTGAACCACCATCACTCCACTATCAAAAATACGTAACCTGCAGGAAAAATAAATTATTTCTATTAACTGAAACATAGTTTTGCATTTAGAAATGATTGCAGATAATCACTATGCTTGCCAGATATAAAACTTTACAGCTGCTCTCCTTACCAACCATTCATTATTTAACCATTGATCATTTTCTTCTTCCTTATGAGTCTGTGAATGTTGTCTTCCAAGCAGCCCTCACTCAAGCTGTGCAAGACGCAACGGTGTCAACAAACTATTCTATCATGAAATTCACTTTAACAAACATCCAGACAGAGTTTTTGTATAGTGATCAGAAGTAGGAACATCTTTTTCATTCTGCTTCCATCCGCAACACACTGTTCTCCCACACCATTTGCAACAAACCCCATCATCTTTTCAGCTTTGAAACCGAGGATGATTGCATCAACATTGCTGCTTCTTGCTCTTATCACAGACCAGAGAATAGCATCAAATTTTGTTTCCAGTTTCCACCCCTCCCTTGACCTCAACGTCCATTTCCAGCTCTCCTCTTTCAACCCCTCTACCTCTATTTGTGGGAACAGGCTGTCAATTAATATCTATTAGCCTACCAACTTCCTTGATTATACTGTTTCTCAACCTGCCTCCTGTGAGAACTCTACTCCATTCTTGCAGTTTCTCTATTGCAGTTGGTCTGATGATGCCACTTTTAATCCCAAAGTTTCCTCAACTATCATCATTTGAAAAAATGTGAAGCGATTCATTTTGGAAGGTCAAATTTGAATGCAGAATACAGGGTTAATGGCAGGATTCTCAGCAGTGTGGAGGAACAGAGGGGATCTGTTGGGGTCCACCTCCTAGATCCCTCAAAGTTGCGACCCAGGTTGATAGGGTTGTTAAGAAGGCATATGGTGTGTTGGCTTTCATTGGCAGGGGAATTGAGTTTAAGAGCCGTGAGGTTATGCTGCAGCTCTATAACAATCTGGTTAGACCACACTTGAAATATTGTGTTCAGTTCTGGTCACCTCATTACAGGAAAGATGTGGAAGCTTTAGAGAGGGTGCAGAGGAGATTTACCAGGATGCTGCCTGGACTGGAGGACAGTTCTTATGAGGAAAAGTTGAGGGAGCTAGGGCTTTTTTCATTGCAGCGAAGAAGGATGAGAGGTGACTTGATAGAGGTTTACAAGATGATGAGAGGCATAGATAGAGTGGATAGTCAGAGACTTTTTCCCAGGGCGGAAATGACTATTACGCATAATTTTGAGGTAATTGGAGGACGGTATAGGGGAGATGTCAGAGGTAGGTTCTTCTCACAGAGAGTGGTGGGTGTGTGGAATGCGCTGCCGGCAGTGGTAGTGGACTCAGATACTTTAGAGACTTTTAAGCGACTCTTGGATAGGCACATGAAGGATAGTAAAATGTAAGGTATGCAGGGTAGATTGATCTTAGTAGGATAATAGGTTGGCACAACATCGTGGACCAAAGGGCCTGTACTGTGCTGTACTGTTCAATGTTCTATGTTCGCTCCCAAATGCTGCACTTCTGCCATTACCTTTTTCAATCCCCACAAGAGTCACAGAGCTGTACAGCATGGAAACAGACCCTTCGGTCCAACTCATCCATACCAACTAGATATCCGAAATAAATCTAGTCCCATTTGCCAGCATTTGGCTCATATCCCTCTAAATCCTTCCTATTCATATACCCATCCAGATGCCTTTTAAATGTTGTAATTATACCAGCCTCCACTATTCCTCTGGCAGCTCATTCTGTATACGCACCACCCTCTGCATGAAAATACTGCCCCTTAGATCCCTTTTAAATCTTTCCCCTCTCACCTTAAACCTATGCCCTCTAGTTTTGGACTCCCCCACCCCAGGGAAAAGGCCTTGCCTATTTACCCGATCAATGTCCCTCATGATATTATAAACCTCTATAAGGTCACCTCTCAGCTTCTGATGCTCCAGGGAAAATAGCCTCTCCCTTTAGCTCAAACCATCCAAATCCTGGCAACATCCTCATAAATCTTTTCTGAACCCTTTCACGGCTCACAACATTGTTCCTATAGCAGGGAGACCAGAACTGCACGCAGTATTCCAAAAGTGGCCGAACCAATGTCCTGTACAGCTAGCAAACTCTTGCCAGGTAATTAAAATTGGGGCTTATGTATCACAATACAGACACTAACAAAATAGTGTGTTTACAAAAAAAAAATATTTCTGATAAAGTGTTAGTCTGGCTTGACTGTGTGGAATTTCACTTATCATATTTCAAGAAACTGTAAATTTAGCACACAGTCATCCAAAAGTACAAGTACTCACATTAGAACCAAAATCCTGTCCGTTTATTCGCAACTAAATGGACAACTTTGAGCATTAAAGTGCATTTTTTAAATGTATGAACGGATTGGTAAGATTTTAACTTGATTAAGAAAACCTGAAATATTATCAACTAAATAAGATTTAAAGTATTTGCTGCTAATAATCTTCATTTTTCAACAGTGTGGAAATTTCACAATGATCTACAGCAGAAGAACAGAATACTTATGTTGTTTCAGTCATTTTCCAATAGACATTTTTAAAAATATGTTCCCAGTGAATTTCACTATTCAAAATACAATCCCTATTTCGAGATAATACTCTTTGTGACACAAAACAGTATGTAAAATATATAGAAGAGAAATTTTGTTCACTGATTTTGAAGTATGTTGCAAGAGTGAGAAAACTTGCTGTAAAATTAGAAACCATGTATCCCTCCGAACAACATTATGACATTGTGAGTTAATATAAATCTGGTTTGCCTACTCACCTCATTGGTAGATTCAGGGCCTCAAACATTTTGCAAGCATTCACCAAATCTTCTGGTGAAAGAAGCTATTGGAAAGAAAATAAGTTAGTACAAATAGCAAAGACTGATTGAAAAGTGGGTAAGAAACACCTCTGCATTACAACTTTCTTTGAGGTAGACTGAAAAATATAAACACTGAACAAGTGTGAATTTTGATCTCGGAAAATAGTCAGTTCTGTTTGAATACTTTAATTTGGCACTTTAAGTTCCTGGTTCAAACAGTTTTCCTATTTAATAAACCAAGCACAAACCTACACTGACTTCCTCCAGATGGTGGAAGTTCCACCCCATGTCTTTCAGCATTTAAGTTTGGTCAGCTGACCACGTACAAGAGTGGCGTGGAGAAATAAAACTCTGTCTGTCATCAGATTAGAATATCCCACTTCTAATGCTAGCCACTTGTTGAAGCAAAAGCAAAATACTGAAAATACTGGAAGACTGAAATAAAATCAGTGCTAGAACTACTCAGCAGACAAGGCAGCATCTGCAAAAAGATGAACAAAGCTAATGATTCAAGTTAATGACTTTCAACAGAATTGTTAAAGAAATGCAAGATAACAAACAGTAAGCTCTGCAATAGGGTCGACACTTAGACAGCAAATGAGGAATATAGAAAATTAAAATAGATAAATAGAATTTCTGTTGAGCACAATTTCTTCATTACTTTCAGATTACCAGCACCCGCTGTGTTTTGCTTTTTATTTGTGTTTAATTCATTGCCACATCTCTTGCAGAAATGCCCACTGCTCTTTCTTCCAATAGGATTTCTACTTCTCTCTTACCTTGTCCATTTCATAGCTTTTCACATTCCTACTCATGTCCACAGTCTTGCCTTCCACCCTATCACAGACCTTTCCTTTTGCTCTTCTCACATATTTTCCCTGACTCTGTACTTGCCTGTTGCATCTTTAATCAGCTCTGACAAAAGGCCATCGATCTGAAACCTTTACTTTTCTCTCTCCACAGTCATTTGCCACACTTCTTAGTTCCATAAATGTACTTTAAATAGCACCAGTTGAAGGACTAAAGTCTGCAATCAATTTGTCTTGAATATTAATATTGATGCCTGAAAGCTAATACCAGTTTTAACCTGTTCTCTTTACACTCAGCAGTTAAATTTGATCTGTCTTACACATGTGAACACGAGAAAGCTATGTGTTGTACCATTACCTCCATCCCTCGAGCTCGGTTTGTCAAGCAATAAACCTCTGTCAGTGCCATCATTCCACCTTGTTCCTGTCAAAATTCAAGCATAATTTAACAATACTTTAATGCAAAAACCAAGGCTGTGCACAATTTTTTTCTTGATAAATACAGCAAAATGTCTCCCTCATTCCCATTAATATAACATTCATCCAATTTTTTAAAAAACTGCTTTGATATGGTTACGCTTTCTTTTTACTAGACAGTTTAAATTCACAACATTATTTTTCATTATACAAGTAGATTTTGCATGAGATTCTCAGTAAATAGGAGGAAACAGCATTGAAGCATCATACGACAATACAATCTATTTCCCTGCAAATATGGAATTTTCTGTAACTTTACGTCTTTTGAAGACTTGAGGTCAAATTGCTGCAAATAGGCTAAATGTTTGGCAAATTAAAGGACACTGCTTTCTCATTAGATTGGCAGAACTGAAAAAACCTTTGGCTCTACTTCAAGCATATCAAAACTAAGATAGGGCTCTGTGGCACAGCAGCAGTGTCCCTGCTTCTGAGCCAGAAGGTATGGATTCAAGTCCCATCTGCCCGGACAGATGTGTCACAACCTACCTGGAAAGGTTGATTGAAATAATCTGTAAGAATTAACAGAGTATAACAGGGGTTCTTTTCTTATTCAGTACCAGAAGATTTTTTTTTGAAACCAGTCTTTGAGCAAATATGAGAGACTGTGAACAATGACCTCTATATGTGAGACGTAAATCCTGTCGGCCTGAACTTGCTGCTGATCCCAATGAATTTTAAGCCAGAAGACCATAAGATGTAGGAACAGAAGTAAGCCATTCAAGCCCATTGAGTCTGCTCTGACATTCAATGAGATATTGGCTGATCTGATAATCCTCACCTCCTTTTTCCTGCCTTATCCCTTTGGTTCCTCTACTAATTAAAATTTGTTTATAGGATAATAGAATCCCTACAGTGTGGAAAGTGGCCATTCAGCCCATTGAGTCCACAGCAGCCCTCCAAAGAGTATCCGACCCAGACCCAGACCCAGACCCAGTCCCCCAACCTATCCCTATAACTCTACGTTTACCATGGCTAACTCACCTAGCCTACACACCACTATCCACTACGGGGCAATTTAGCATGCCCTTTCCATTTACCCTGCACATCTCTGCAAAGGAGCACCCCAAAGAAACCCACGCAGACATGGGGAGAACGTGCAAATTCCACATAGACAGTTGCACAAGACTGGAATTGAACCTGGATTCCTGGCATTGTGAGGCAGCAGTGCTACTCACTAAACCATCCTATCTCAGCCTTGAATATACCTAATGACCCAGCCTCAACAGCCTTCTGTGGTAAAAAAAATTCCATAGATTCACTGCCCTCAGAGGAAACAAAATCCTCCTCATCTCTGTCTTAAGAGTGACCACATACTTTGAGATAACGCACTCTGGTCCTAGACTCACCCACAAGGGGAAACAACCTTTCAGCACCTATCCTGCCAAGCTCCCTAAGAATCTTGTATGTTTCAATAAGGTCTCTTCTCATTCTCCTAATGCAATGAATACAGGCCCATTCTACACAACCTCATTAGAAAATTCCTCCATACCAGAATCAATCTAGTGACTCTTTTCTGGACTGCTTCCAATGCCAGTATGTGTTTCATTGGATAAGGGGACCAAAACTGTCCACAATATTCCGATCAGGTCAGACTTGTGCCTTGTATAGTTTTACCAAGGCCTCCCTATTTTTCTGCTCCATTCATTCGAAATAAAGACCAACATTCAACTTAACTTCCCTATTATCTGCTGAAACTTCGATGCTAGCCTTTTGTGATTAATGCAAGTGGACTCCCAAATCCCTGTGCTAAAGCTTTCTGCAGACTTTCCTCATTTAAATAATATTCAACTCTTCTATTTTCCTGATAATGTACAAAACTTCGCATTTTTCCACATTATATTCGATCTGCCACCTTCTTGCTCACTCGCTTGATCTGTTTACATCCCTCTCCACACTACTTGCCTACATTTGTGCCATCTTCAAACCTGGTGATAGTACATTCGTTTCTGTCATCCAGGTTGCCGTCTCTGGAGAATTTCAAATGAGTGAGAGCAGAGAAATGCCCAATGACATATTGCACGTGTGCACAGACATATTTCAAGACAGGTTTATATGGACTACACAAGACTAATTCAAAATAATACATTATTTTATGCATTTCTCTTGGATAGTTAGAAATTCTAATTGATATTAAACATGGGATAAATTTATATGTAGGGTCATTATCAATCCAGAGACATACGGCTGTGGTTATTTTCATTTGCTGAACAATTTGTCTCCATATTCCAATTGCCTGTTTTTATTTCTTTTGCTGTTACCAAGTTTAACACAGAAGCTCACTTTAAACTTCTGAATTGTAAAGTACCATCTGAAGTATGAAGGGCAGAAATTGTCTGTGAACTGTCTTAAAATACAACTTTCAAATTCTTATAATTTATTTTGAGGTCATGTGTGACATATCTTGGGAGTATTTTTCAACATTAAAATTGCTATATTGTTACAAGAGGTTGTTGTAGTGCAGCATTATCCAATAGACATTTCTGAACCCACAGATGTAGTGACGCACTTATTTTTTAAAAAAATTGTTTGACTCATTGTTCATGCTATCTAGGAGAAGTATGCACCAAGTGTGTTTATTTACTTATACTTCCATCAACATACAGCAAGCAAATAAAATACAGTGATCACAAAAAGCCCTCACGCTCTGCTTTTCTTCTTCCTCATTTATCAACAAACTCTTTGGCTTCTTCTTTGGCTCAGTGTCAATTTTAACTTGATTATTTCTTTGGGCTGCTTCACAACGGCAATTTGTAAAAGGTGTTATACAAATGTCGCGCTATTGTTGGAATATACTGCCATTGAGTTTATAGTTGCGAACACTCAGTTTCACGTCCAAATTCACATTGTTTCCATGTGACATTCAGGAATTACTATGCAGAATATTGATCAGATGGGTGGGAAAGAGCAGCTAAGGAGCATTATTTACCTCAACTGGCACTTGCAACATTTCCACCAGCTGTTTAGCCAATTGCATGTGGTAATGTGTTCCAGATCCATGTGTTTCTCTAGTAACTGGATTAGCTATGCCCATGCTCAGCAAATAGGACTTGAAACGGATAGTCTGTGAAACAAAAAGTACATGCGTTTCAACTTCGTAAGATACATAAGTTGCATTATTTTTATGATGTTTCATGGAATATGACTGGATGAAAACAACCGTACAGGTTAATAAAGCTATAACAAAGTTTTGGAAGTATATGTTTTTGAAGGAAAGAATTGTTTATAGGATTTAGCTGAAACAGTTATCAACTGAGCTAGCAAACTAGTGGTCATGAGTACAATTCATCATCTTGCCATTTCATGCCAGCCTACATTCATTAATGGAGACAGTTGGGTTTTAATTACGAAACAGGATATTTTGTTTTTAAATCAGAAACTTAAATCAGTGTCACTTTACAAAAATGAAGTGCACCTGTAACCAAAGATGACTATTGTCTAGGAGATCAACAAATCAGGATTCACTAGCTAAATTGTAAGAACAGGTGAATATCTTTGAGTCTACCACAATTATCTTCAAGGGCAATGCAAAAACTAGATGGGTGAGATGGAATCATAATAAGGTAAAATATACATGTAACGTGAAAGAAGCAGACTAAATGGGTGAACAATGGGTTGAATAAAATAAAAGCTAAGTACTGTTAAGAACTGCCATCCTTACTTGATGTAGCCTAATGTGAATCCAGGGCCATTGACACAGAGCAAGACAATGCGACAGACTGAATTGTTCCACAAACTCATCAAGTAGTGTACCCTAATTAAGTTGTAATGGAAGATGTTATTAGGGTTGGGTGATATTCAGGAGTCTCCATGTTTAAAAACATTCATCTTCTGTAAAATATTACCTTTGGATCTGAACTAAATCAGGTAAATAAATCAAGTACCCCATTGTCTGGTACAAGCATCTGGAAATCTGACACAACCAATAATCAGAAAGATGCCTTCCCACTGCATGCAGTAGTTCTCCCACAATACAAAAATCGGAGATTTAAAAAAGGGAAATCAGAATTAACCTCCAGAAAACTTTGCCAAGGCTCAGCAACTGACACATTGGGATGGGAGCTGGTTTCCTCTCTCTGGGAACTGATCACTTGGTTACTCCCTCCTTTTCCTTTTGATCAAAAGCTTCACTGACAATACTTGAGATTGGTCCTAGCAGCTCGTTTTTAAAACACACATTCATCTTGTGGCAGTGGCAAGTTAAATTCTCCCTGCTGCCACTAGTATTTCTGATGCATCTCAGTCAACCAGAACCAGACTGGACAATGAATAGACAATTGCGCAAAGTCAGATAAGACTGAAAGGCAAACGTGCACTAACAGTTAAAACTCCAACTGAAACAATTCAACAATGAACACAACCAATTGCAAAATTACATAGACATAGTTTGAAATAAGGTAAAGATAATTCAGGGGCTAAAAGTACAAGCTCCAAACGACATCTTTGCTAGCTGATCATGTACCGGATAATCCCCAGGGTGAATTTGAGACTTGTCAACTAAGGAAGTTGAGAAATCTTGCAACTTTCAATTGGCCCCAATCATCCTATTAAAACTGTAAAAGTCTGTCTTGCATCAATGAGTATGTATCTTGCTTTTCAAATAAGCTTTTCTTTTCTTTTTGATCCTCAATGAAACTTGGATAAGAATTAAATTAAAATGCTCAATGATAAAGTGAAACAGCACAAAGAAACATAGTGGGTTGGATTTTCAAGGAGTAGCAATTTCATACAGATTGACACCACTCCTTTTTTATGAAAGAAGAGAACTCTGTATTTCTGAGAGGAGATTCCGATAAGAGTTCCTTCAGAAACATGGAGCCGTATTTCCATTTCATCAGCTCCCTCTTAGTGCAGTACAGTCAGGGGACGGCAAGTCACTCTCCCTTTCATAGCAGTCAGCTGCCATATTCTGACATTTAAAGGTCCAGACAGCCACTTTGACAGCTGGTACATAAGAAAAGTGTGATGTTAGGATATGGAGTGCAGAGTGGGGTAAAGGGAGAACATGTCCAGTGGCAGGATGGAGGGGTGTCAAGAACAGAGCAGGGGAGTGCATGACCAGCAAAGGGGAAGGGGGATTTGGATCCCAGGGATTGTTGGGTCAGGGTCTGAGGTGTGTAAATAGTTTGACGAACGTGTAGTTAGGTTACATGAGGAATATCTACTCAATTTCATCGGAGAACTCTGAATTCTCCTATTTAAATGAAAACTTTTGGAGGGTTCCAGGCATTGGAGAATTGCCCAGATGGATCTTCCACTTTCTAGGCATTTCCTTCTGAGTCTGCCACAATGGGGATTCCAAAGGCTTCCCATGCACAACTCCCATCCACATTGAAACAACAATTGTCTGATCATCTCTTGCTTTTGGGATCGGTGTGCAATGTGGCTGCCATATCTGCTTGCATAACAGTGGCTGTCTGTTGAGACTTATGACATTCTTCAGCAATCTGAAAGACACCAATGAGGCATTCTTTATTCCTTTAAAATTAACTAAACATATTTCTTACCTCATCTTCAGAAATATCACCTTGCTTATCTTTGATTTTGTTTGCTATTAATTTTGACAAATCGACCATCTCTTTGGCCTAAAGAAAAAAAAATTACTTGTTCCATTCTGAATATATTTGCCAGTAAAACACATTTTAGTACAGTTCCAAATGTTGGCTACTATGAATAAACAGAGATACGTGCAGTACTAGATGACAATCTGCACATATATTAGTCATTAACAAGCTTTCATTTATTGGGTGAGATTGGAAACTACCATGATCCACATCAGAGCCACCTCTCTACATAAGAAGGAATATGCAGCCTTATATTAAATGTTTGTACTTTTATCTTCAATTTCTTGACCTTTTCTAAAGGTTTTCTTTCCGCCCCCACCCCCCAAACCTCACACCATTTGCAGCTCAGAAAGTGAAAGGGAAATCGACAAAACCTTGGGAATGCTGCGCTCTGGAACCATGCTCAAGTTGCTGATGTGTAACCATCATTCTAAATGTTCTTACTCTCTGCATACAGAATCCTAGACTCAACAGCACCACTTTGTCACCTAACATTTATTTCCTTTTCTTTTAAAAGAACTTTGCTTTGTATTGTAATTTCTTTTAAAATGTACGTGGGATTAGGAGGAACATATATGCGGAAAAGGAATCAAAGCAAGACCGGGGAGACTGCAATGACAATGAGCCTTGCAGTGTACTCTACTCCCATCATGAGAAAGGAAGGTGATGAAGATCTAGTGACTACCTCTGCTGGCTGCTCAATAAAGAGTTGCAAGAATTTTTTGCTACTGGGGTGACAGCATTTCTGGCAAAGCCAGTATTCATTGCTAACCCAAATTGTCCTCAAGAAGGTAGTGGTGACCTGCCATCTTGAACCACCCAGCACTGTCAGAAGGAAAAAAAATTCCAGGTTTTTCACCCAGTGACCATGAAGGTATGGTGAAGTAGTTCAAATCAAGATGGTGCATTGTTTGGAAGGGAATATGCAGATGTGATGTTTCCATACGCCTACTGCCCTTGTCCACCTGGATGATAGACGGTCCTGTCAAGAGGGGTTTGGAAAATTGTTGCATTGCATCTTGTACATGGTACACTCTGGTGTGATGCATTGCTTGTGAAGACAGTCATAAGGTGGTGAATGGGGTAGCAATTAAGCAGGTTGTTTTTTCCTCAGTTGTGTTGAAACGGGAAGTGTTGAAGACACAATACAGGCTCAGGCTGTTAGAACCAACTGCAACTAACATGCTTTCTCTGCTGAGCCAGCAGAGTGGGGTTTGAGAGATACCACAAGAATATACGAGCATATAAGCCTCATACAAGAACTAATAAATAACGTATGTAAACTGGATTGTGATAGGATAGTTTAATAACACTAGTTGTCGAATTATACAATCGGCACCCCCATGACTGGATAACTGCAACTCAATTTGATGTATTGTAATAGTTTAACTGTAACCAGATGTAATTAAATCACTGGAATTTGTGTGCCACCTTTGGATACATGTGATTCCCCTTGTGTATACTCAAAAAAAAGACTAACGAACAAATAAACTTGAGTTGTGTCTGATCACTGCGGGCGAAGAGAGAGTGTTTGACCTCCCACCACAGTGTTGAGCTGCTTGAGTGACTTACAGGTTCTGAAACATTTCATAATGTTTGTTTAGGAAGGCTTCTGTTTTGCAACAGAATAGTCACCAATACATTTTTCAAAATTATGCCATGCATGCTTTCTCAGATGCAATCATATTACATGGTATCCATCATCAATTAACGTGGACATGGCTTTCATTTATTGCTAATTAGTTATTTATTAAAGTCCAATAATAGTCATTTTCAGTTAATGCTCAATATCGTTATAAACTGAATAGGAAGTGTACGTGGAAGTATACCTTTTTCATAAGTTGACTGAGATCTTCAAAAGCCTATGAATCAAAGAGAAAAAAATTCTGCTTATACTAATCATAATTATAGAAACAAATTAATTGTACAAAACTTCAAAGAAACAGACTTGCAATTAAAATACTAACATTGAACTAGGACCAGAGCAGGCCATTCAGGCCATCGAGCCTGCTCAGCCATTCAATACAATCATGGCCTATCATCAATTTCGATACGTACCCCCTCCCCACCCCCGCACGCTATCTCCCCACATGCCTTTATATCATTGATATTTCCAGATTTGTCAAAGTCTAATTTAAACATATTCAATGACTGACATTCCGTAGCCCTCTGGGTTAAAGATTTTCAAAGATTTACCACCGTCTGAGTAAAATAAAATCTCAACTTTGTCCTAAGTGACCTTCCCCTTATTTTGGCATTTTGTTCCCTGGTTCTAGACTCTCCAGATAGGGAACATCTTACCTGCATCTACCCTGTCTATCCCTTTAAGTATTTGTAGATTTCAATGAAATCACCCTTTGGGGAATTTGGTTAAAGGTTATGCTGATGGAGTTGAATGAGGAAGGATGGGATAAGGCTCGAGTGTTCTGCTATGCCATCATTGCCTGGCTAGGCTGAATGACCGTTTTCAATGCTTATCTATTCTATGTAAAATTTATGTAATTTGATGCAAGGTAGCATAACCACATGGTGAATAGCTAATTTTGAGGAAAATGTACACATTTCCAAATATACAATTAAATTCTCTCTGCAAGTGTATTTTTGTATTACATTTAACACATTTTACACTAAAACAAAGCATTAACAAATATTTGATGGGAAACTGTCTTTCATTATGCTTCCTCAACAGGAAGAGCAGCTTTCAATTGGAGCTACTATTGTCAAAACAACTAATATTCACAATTATACTGCAAAAATAAACATAAAGCACCATCAAATTAGAGGGTTGTTTGGCACTGTTAACATAACATTTCCAAGTGTGAGGTTTTTCGATAAGGAGCACTAATATCAACAGTGTTATGAAGCATCAGGTCCCATGTGGAATGTGAAAAGAAAACAATCACCTATTTTTTTTTCCACACAAACAAAGAACTTGCTCTAACAGGTTTCAGAGTGAATTCTGCATAAAGGATCTGTTTTGCCTGCACTACTGTCTCATGAGAAGGTTTGCATCCAGTGATGTACTTTTAAAGTATAATCACTCTGGTAAATTGGGGAAATGCAGCAACCAGTTTGTATTAAGCAAGCACCTGCAAATAGTCAAGAAATGAATTACAGATGATGTTTTAGTGGTATTGGTTTAGGCTACATATTGGAAGGATGCATGTGGTACAGTGGTATTGTCCCTATCTTTGAGCCTGAAGGCCCAGGTTCAAGTCTCCATCCGCTCTACAGATGAGTCATAACGTCACTGAACAGGTTAATTGAAATAACACTGGCTAGAAACCAAAAGTTTAGAATACTGCTGCAGGGTGTTTTATATTGCTGTAAGAGGGTAGACTGAACCTGGGTTTATCAATTCATCCGGAAGATAGCAACTCCTGCAGAGTAGCACTCTTCCAGTGCTGCATTGATTGTGTGGTTGAGTCTCTGGGGGTGGGTATTTAAAACATCACCAACTACCTCAGTGATGCGATTTCTATAGCTACCACTATAAGATGATCTTGTGGTTTATGGTGAACTTCTTCATTCTCACCCATGATTGCTGAAGAAAACTTGCAAGGTACAAACATGAAAGCAAGGAACAACATTAAGCAATGAAGGTGACGGCTGGCTGCCATTTGTGTCAGGCAGTAAAAATTCTTGAAAGGAGCCATAATATCCACCCAAGAAAAGGCATGAAGATTATCGAAAAAGTTTTGTTGGACAGAGCGTAAGAATTCTCCTGGATCCACAAAAATAGCATGGCCCACGGTCAATATTCCAAGTGCTTCCACTTACATCCACACCAGAAGAATTCCAGAATGGTCACAGCACAAGAGGAGGCCATCCATCCCATTGAATCCCTGCCTACTCTACACAGGAGCGATTTAGTCAGTCCATTCCTCCTCATCTTTTTCCTAAAGCACTCCAGTTTCTTTCCAGTTGCTTATACAATACCCTCTTGAAAGCCACAATTAAACTGTCTCCACCACATTCTGAAGTACTGCATTCCAACCACTTAACTGTGACCTACAGGTTATCTGCATGTCACCATTGATTCTTGTGTGAATCACCTTAAAACAGTGTCTTCTGGTGATCAACTATTTCACTACTGGGACCGGTTTTTCCTTATTTATTCTGCACTGACCTTTGATCATTTGGAGCACCTCTATAAAATCTCCTCTCAGCTTCTCCTTCTCAAATTCACGTCCCGGGAACCATTCCTATACATCTCTTTGGCATTCTCTCCAAAGCCTTCATATCCTAAATTAAGGTGCCCAGAATTGGAAACAATACATTGAGGCCAAACTAAGTTTTATAAATGTTCAACAAAACTTCCTTGCTTTTGTTTACTTGTTTCTATTTATAAAGTCCAGAATCCCTTAAGCCATTTTGACTTTGTCAACTTGCCTGCCACCTTCAATGAATTTTGTCCCTATATCCTCAATTTGTCAGTTTCTGCAGCTTCTTTGGAACTGTGCGTTAGTCACTGGCTCAGCACCGTCATTTCACTCTCATTCCACTCCAGAATTTCAGCACAAAAAGCAATGCTGATGTTCCTGTGCAGTACTGAGTGAGTGCCATACTGCTAGAAGTGATGACTTTCAGATGAGACAATAAACCAAAGTCCTGACTGCCCTCTGACAAGGACATAAAATATCTAGTAAGAGAGGGAGGTTATCCCCAGTGTCGACTAAAATGACTAAAGTGGTTGCCATTATCACAATGCTGTTTGAAATGCATAAATTAGTTGCTTCATTTCCTGTATTCCATCAATTCGTATAGTTGAGAAGTAGTTCATTGGCATTTTGGGATATCCAGTGGTTATGAGATGCGCTATCTTTCTCTACCTTTAATTACACATCATCGCGTGTCTTGTTTTCCTATTAAATTATATTATTTCACATTTCCCAACATGAAATTTCATCTCCTTTGCGTCTACCAATTCGACCAGGCAGTCCAGGTTCTCCTGAAGCTGACTGTCACACTTTTCACTGTTTATGATAATCCCAAGGTGTGTGTTGTCCATAGATTTTAAACTTGTGCTCTACACACCAAAGTCCGGGTCATTAACATATAACAACAAAAACATCAGGCCTAACACTGAAACCTTGGGGAACCCATTATAAACCCTCTGATATATCATAATTCATGTCCATTAATAATTATTCATGATTATATCACTGTTCATGTTGGCATATAATACTAACTACAGACCACCCCATTCAAACTGACTCAGAAGCGCATTCCACTTGTGCAGTCATGCATAACACACTATGTACACAGCTCACTTTAACACGGCCGACATTCCACTCAAAGGTGCAGTCATGTGTAACGGCTAACAAAACCACATAAATGCCACAGGATAAGATATTTTTACGCTTCTACACCTGAAGTAGTGTCTTTCATATTAAAATCTAGCCTCGAATAGGTGTGATCCCTAACCCCTTACTCTAAACCCCTCTCCAGCCAGTGTGGCTCCAAGAATCATTCAATGACAACAACTGGATTAGCCCTCTTCCTTAAAAGTAAAATGCTATTTCCTTGCAGACTTCCTTGTACTAGATTATGCATATTATGATCTGTAGATGACAGGATTTACCTTGCCCCAAGTTTTTACTCAATGTCGTGTATATAAGCAACCTTTAACCTACTAATAAAATTAAAAGTGCTATGTCCAGAACCGCGCAACTTTGAATGAATGAGGGTATGAATGAAACTGACAGCACTACTATAACAGATGTGACTGTGAAACTGAATGAATGAATGAATGTGTGATAGTAAACAGAACCTACAGATAGACGCAACTATGATACTGACTGAATAGGCGATAGTAAATAAAAGTCACAGACAGCCATGATTGAAAGAAATCCAAACTTATATTTAAAACACAGAAACATTTTTACCATCATTCTAACTTCGGAAATAACAAGACTAACACCTTTTGAATTATGCAAGGACAAATTAGATGGACACTCTAATCTCATTAGAATAACCACTAACACTTAGCAAAAACCGCTAACACTTAGCAAGTGTTTAAACTGTCTCCGATGTCCTGCAAGACAATTTTTGTACAATAGTCATTACTTAGCACTCAAGTGTTAGAATGTTGATGTATGCTCAAATTCTGTATAAAAAAGGCTACTTTTGAGCTACGATTTTGGGATTCTATTTTCTCCTGACATCGTGCTGCTGTGAATGTACAATAAAGAGGCTATTTTCGCCACTCACTGATCTTGCTCGTCTGGTTCTTTGACCGCGATCTCACACCTCTTCCAATCTGACAAAAGAACAACCATTTACCATTAATTATCTGTCACTCAGCCAAATTCATATTCATGCTGTCAATCCCTTTTATTCCATGGGCTTCAACTTTCTTGTACAAATCACCTTAACGTAATGCTCAAAGTCACTGTTTTATGTGGCACTTTATCAGATGCTTTCTGGAAATCCATACTAATTGTTTCACCTGTGACACAGTCATCAACCTGCTCGGTTATCTCATCTGCTTCATTATGGAAATGAACTTGTCTTCTGTTCCTCCAAACCTAATGCACAGCTGTGGGACACCCACAGAATTCACACGGGGAAAATGGTTTGGCTTGCCCCACGCCGGTGTTGACCACATGGTCCACTTGCCTCTCCAACTTTACAACAGTTTTGAGCAGAATTCAAAAATTTCTACTTCACACACCTACCCAGTCTAAAGTCTTGGCTAGCAAATTATTTGCCTCCAAAATTGTTTGATAATGTTGCATTACTCACTGAACAAATTAATACAGGTTTCAACAAGTGCATGGTTTTGCCTGGAAGTCTGGTTACACAGGAAATCACACACTGAACTAAGTGGGAGATGAGAGAAGTCTCATTTTCTATTTGTCACATAAGGGATTAAAGAACATCACATGTGAAATAAACATCCGACCTCTGTGAGACTCGTCTTACCAAGGAGTCTATTTTTCATGAGTTACAGTAATGGATGTCTGAAGCATGGAAAATTATTCTTTTTCACCACTGGCTTCTGAACAAGGTCAATAATCACCAACACTATGTGCAAAGGTTAACCGGTTAACTTGCAGGTCGCAAGTGTTGCTTCAGTGTTTTCCTTAAGCCTCAGATGAAGGTGTTTAAAGAAGTTTATTTTACTGACGTGACAATCCAGTAATGGCTAGTTGAATGAAAAGCTTCTTGCATTAGCAACTAGGATATTTGTTAATCTCAGGTCAACTTTTAGGTTACCCCTCCTAGCTAGTTTCTGAAACCATAACTACATAGCCAAAAACAAGTGAAGACAACATCTCTGCTACATTAGTATGAAACAATTACACAGGTTTTCCTTGATGCTTTTCCTTGGTTGATGGTCTGTAACTACAAAGCTGAAAAAAAACTTTTTAATTAGGGCTTTCATCTTCCTGAAGTGACTTCAGGCCAATCCACATCCAACAAACTGCTCTGAAAACTCTACTCATATTTTGACAGTTGTGACAAATTGCAGCACAACAGTTGAAACAATAAACAACATTCAAAAATCTAATGGCCTCCCATGTTCTAAAGAAAAGTAGATTCACCCCATCTGCCATCTCCCAATATTAACAGATCCTCTTTTAAAAAATCCGGATTCTGTATCTAGATCCACAAATTCTCCAAAAATTATTTAGTTTTTCCTTGGATCATATCCAGTCAGTCAGTCGAATTGTGACAAGCAAAAAGTTTCAAAATTATTCTCTGGTTTGCCTAAAGGTTTGGGCATACCTTAGAAGGGTTAAAACACTTATTTATTAACTTGTTACCAGAACATATTCCATCATGTAAAGTTTGTTCAAACAACTTTTGTGTTTATTTAAAATCAGCCTTTCAGAACAGATGGTGACTAAATAGCGTGACTGGCTTGAAAAGTCTGACTGCATTTCAATGTATTTTTGCAGGTGACATCAAATACATGTTTCGCCTGCCACTCGCTATATATGGAAACTTGTAAAGCACAGCCTTAATGTAATCCACACATTAATGTCAAACTCCTATACTGCAGTCAAAACGCAATTAGAACTTCTAAGTATTCTGTTTTTTGGGAATTCCTCAAGCGTATCCTAGTAGTGCAAGTATACTTTCAAAAAGTATCTGACTGCATTTACAAAGACAACATAGAGCTGTCAGGTACAAATTAAACTTATAAGTTATATTGAGAGAGCCAAATTACCTAGATATTCACACTGAAAAAAGAAAACCAATAATTAGCATTTCTATATCATGGAATATTTAAGGTTTTCCTTATTTTAAAGAGGTGTTGGCTAAAGAGGCTCAATTCTATATCTATGTTGCACTCCTCAGTTTAAACAATGTGATCTAAAATAACACAAATGCATATAAAATCTTCCAGATGATAGGTTGAAGGGCCCATGGAAATTTCCAGTACCTTTTTATTTAAGAAAACATCCAGCAGAAAAGTCTACTTAATATTGTTTCTCCAATGATGGAATTATTCAGAGAGTCTGGGAACAAAAGGGAATGGGCACACACCTAACAGGAACTTCCTGCGATAAATAGCATTGAACTGCAGGATTCTTATCAGAGACAAACAGCTCTGGCAGGAAACCTTTACTAGAACCTGGGGTCACTAAATATGACGTAATTCATCTGTAAAGTCAAAATAGCTTGTCATATCCAAAGGACTTGAAAATAAATTCAAAACACAATATTATTTTGTACTGGAGTTTTTCTTGGTTTGTCTTTGATTAATAATTGCACTTTGACTCAATATATAGTGAAATGTGTGTCAATTTATTTTGCTGAATACAATTTTAGTAATGCATGGAGGTGGCACAGTGGTTCAGTGGTTAGCACTACTGCCTCACAGTGGCAGGTTAAACCCGGGTTTGATTCCACCCTTGGGCGACCATCAGTGTGGAGTTTGCACATCCTCCCCGTGTCTGCGTGGGTTTCCTCTGGGTGTTCCGGTTTCCTCCCACAGTCCAAAGATGCACAGGCTAGGTGGATTGGCCATGCAAATTTGCCCATAGTATCCAGAGGTGTGTAGGTTAGGTAGAATGGCCATGGGAATTGCAGGGTTACAGGGGTAAGGTAAGGGGGATGGGTCTGGGTGGGATGTTCTTTGGATAGTCGGTGTGGAGGTGATGGGCTGAATGGCCTGCTTCCACATTGTAGGGATTCTATGATTCTATGAAGTATATGCACTACTGAAACAAGAAATTAGTTCTAGCACTTTAAACCCAAAGAATTTCCCGTGAGGAGATTGAACCAGATTTCTTTTTGTTCAAATTCAATTTCAGAACTGTGGATTTAGTTTATAAGAGTCAGAATGCATGGATGGCATTGCAATGTGTATTGCCTGGTGGTTTCTATAACCAAACCACTAAATGCGAGTGTTACCTGGCTTTACAATCACAAAAACAAGACAGATTACACCTTACATTACACCTGTCCATAGTAAATACAATCTATAATGAATTAAAAAAGTGTAGCAATCTGCTACAAAGCTATTATTTTTCTGTAAGAAAGACTGAGAAATATGCCTAACTCAAATAGTTTCTATAATTTATTTCAACACATTAAGATTTTTACTTTCCTTACAATACAAAAGAAAACTGCCATTCATTCCTCAGCAAGTCACATTTTTATTTGGGTGCAGGTTATTCTTTATTTTCAGATCTACTTGGATTTCAGAGTTCTGCTGTGCTTTGTTCCCATGATCATCACAGACACCTAACTACAGCTGGGAAATAGTACACTTGACCCTCCTTTGAGGCATTCTCTCATCTGAGAAAAAATACCACAGCTTTCGCTCTGCAGTTTAGGAACAAAAAAGATCAACTTAAATGTACTCTACAGCTGTTAGTACTAATCTCCTGACACTTGAAAACCACTTTATCAAATTAAGCCCCAGATTCACCCATATTGCTTTTTTAGTGCTGGGAAAATCTACTTAGATGACAGATATAGTATTTATACTCAGTTCCATAATATAGAATGGATACTGATCAACCAGAAATTATTCTTCCATAAATGATTTATCAACTTCTCAAAGACAATCTTCATTAACAGCAAGTGCCTTCACAGGAACGCACAATGTCATTATCATGTTGTCTTAGCACCATACAAATATATCCAAGACTCTCAGATATATTAATCACCACAGCTTTGGAATAGAAATGTCAGTGCCTTAATTTTACTGTGTTTAATTTTGTGCTACAATTTAATATAGGAGCCAAATCAGGAAAATTTGCACAAAGCCATCTTGGTTTAAGCTTTATAGTACTCATAAAGCACAATATAAGGTTTTAAAAAAAGTACTCATATAAATAACATTTCCTTCCTAACTACTAGACACTTATTCTGGTTTTTCAGGGTGAAACAATCTCAGGGAGATCCGTTTTGACACAGTATTCACTCTATTATTTGACAGGAAATGGTTACAGCGGATTCAGACGGATGACTGGCCTTGAACATTCACAACAACTTACTTCAGAGATGTTTTTGTCGGTCTCCTTTCGTTTTTCCTCCAACTTCCTTTCAATACCCACAATTCCAGCAGCCCTCACTTTTCCTGCCTGCAAAAATAGGAATTTTTTATTAATTTAACATCAAAAGTGCTATACATTCTACTCAAGTTTTTGTTCTCTTACGAATGCAGTTACTTCCTACCACATGTGATTGTTAAATGCTCTCACAGGAAATGAACTTTGAAGGGAACTCGGTTACTTTTATTATTAGCAGTTGAAATCAGAGTCTGGCTTTTGCATCCCTTTTTAAAGTTTGATTATCTTCCTCTCTGTTGTGCACTGTTCCTTGTCTGAGATGTCTGGGTCGGGCAACCTGCTCAA